TTGTAACGTTCCTGGCCCCAGTCGGGCCTGTGTCACTATGGATCGGCAGATGCAGCCAGTTGTCTCGACTTTAGGTTGAGAAGTGAGCAGCAACCGTGTAATTTCCTATTCTTTTCCTCTGTGGGTAGTTAGCTCCGGGAAGCCGTAGGGGCTCTCCCCAGAAAACCAGCGTTGAATGTAATGAAACGGCATTTTCTGGGCGAGTCCTGAAGGCTCCCCGGCATCCCTCCCTCCCTCCGGTCAGCGTTTTTTTCACGTGTTATGACACCCATCCTTAGAACTGGGGTGTGGATCGCCGGCGCGGTAGGTCTGGGGATGCACAGACAGCAGGGTGACGATGGGTGATGTCATACTAGTTTGCTCGTTTTTGTTTGGGGAGTTCTATCCACTCGTTCGGCTTTTGGTTGCAATTTTCACCAGAATAAAGGTTTGTTTTGGGACGCCTACCTTTCTGGGTGCCTAACCCAGTCGATGGCAGACATAGAATGCTTCCAATTACATGGAGGTTTCTATAAGCCATTGCTCCCCTTGCCTCTCTAGAGGGGGGCCAGGTTCTGGCTCGTGGTCCCTGGTAGGCCCATAAGAACTCCATACACATGACTGATGCCAAAGTCTGACATTAGCATATCAGCCTAGTAAGCTCCGGGGAGCCGTAGGGGCTCTTCCCAGAAATGTGTGTTTGAGGAAGTTTAGGGCCCACAAGCACTGGGCCCTTAAATCCTTAAACTGCGCATGGCATATATATATATATACAACTGGAGTAACATGTCCCACTGTACGCATGGCATACATATACGACATAGGGTGCCAGGGAAGATTCAAATGGCCTGTGGTATAATGGGGTCATCCATATCACAGCCGGGGCCGATTGTAAACAGACGCCATCTTGAAAAAAAAAATCTAGTACAGGCCTCCTTTGTCTCACAGGCTTTAGTTACTGACCACACACAATGGCAAGTGCATCACGACCCAGCATCCGGTCTCGCTCAGTGCACCTCGCCGTGCAGTCATTGACCGAAGACGAAATTACTAATGAAACTGTTCAACGACCACGATGAACCTGATATTGATGACTGATATAGATGAGGACTATACACAGCCTGAGGATATTGAAACAACGAATAGTGAGAGTAAACATGTTGGTGCCACGATGGGCGAGGATACCAAGAGTCACCCGTCACTAATCACCACTTCGTGCCCAAGCACATAGTTTATGTGTTTTACATGGCAAGATTATGAATTGATCGACGAGTCTGAAGCAGGTGAATCATTCTCTGGTTTTAGTGACTTAAAATCAGAGAATAGTTTTGCCATGCCTGCTAGTTCCAGTTGCCATGTTGCCAAGTGCATTGCATCAGCATCCTGCCCAGCCAAGCACTGTAGCATGGCACAACATGGCAACATTAAGGAACAAATCTTCTCATCTTCAATTACTTGCTGCTCATGGAACATATTGTTCATGAAACGATCAGATACACAGCTGATCTTATTGAAGGTGAGGATGTATCAGAATTTTCATGATTACAGCGATGGAAAGAGACGACTGTAGGTAAACTGTATGTGTTTTTCGATATATGTATGTTGATGAAACATTGTGTGAAACACGTAATATCCCATTATTGGAGCAAAGACAACACTGTTCCAACACCACTGTTCACAAAATATATGTCCCGAGACCAATTTCTGATACTCCTACGGTGTCTTCATTTTGCAAATAATGCAAATGAGACAGGATGATAGGCTTTACAGGGTAAGGCACGTGCTAAATGACCTTATTGGAATGTTCAGAGATTACTACGTACCAGCTCAGAAACTGGTTATTGATGCTTTTCAAAGGACGTGCTGCCTTCAAGAAGTATATTCCTTCAAAACGTCACCGATTTAGACTGAAATTCTTTGCTCTGTGACTGTGAATCAGTAATGATGTTACACATGACACTGTATTTGGCTTCAAATGTAGACATTCCTGGTAATGACCAACATGGCTTCTCAGGTAGTGTGGTGAAGGCACTGCTTGCACCATATCTCAACAAGGGCCACATATTGTACACACAACTATTATACCAGTCCCTTACTAACCAGGTTCTTGCTTGATAATAGAACTGAAGTGTGTGGCACAGTAAAATGCCTGTGTTTGACACTGCTATGCAAGTAGGTGATTGCAAGGTAAGAAAAAGTGGTGGAATTCTTTCAGTGCGGTGGAAAGACAGACGTGAAGTGAACACGTTGATCACCATTCACCCTGGTACATTGGTGGACAGTGGCAAGGTGAACAGAACAAAACAAATAATCTGCAAGTCAGATTGTGTGATGGACTACAACATCAACATGCCTTTAGTCGATAAATGTGACATGATGGTGATGCTGTAGTGGGTGTACGGAAAACAGTGAAGTAGACCAAGATGATTTTCCACCTTCTTGACATAACAATGCTAAACAGTTACAACATGTATCTTGTGAAAACAGGTAGAAAACCATATTTCCATTCCTTTAGTTTTCAAGTTGTGAAACAGTTACTAGGAAAGTGAGGCAAAGACACCCCAGGCAATACAAAGACCCATTCGGGACCCAATATTGCACCATGCTCTCACACCCAGGCTCGCTTACAGGGAGGCCTTTCTGGTACACCAGATCAAGAAATTACCACCAACTGGATTGCATGCAGCAGGCCACGTCGGTGCGTTGTGTGTAACACCACACGAATGAGGCCACAGAAACGTAAATTGGTGTTAACATGGTGCAAAGCGTGTGCAGTCCCTCTGTGCCATGTCAACTGTTTTGCACAGTATCACAGTCTCCAGGAGTCCTAAATGTCTAATACTTGCAAATACTGGTACATTGTATATTTCCTGTAAAATAGAATAGTATGGTGCACATATTTGTGACAATAATGTGTGTGTGTGTAGTGAATTTATTCCAGTTGTATTATTATACAACATCAAGTGACAATAATTGGAACAATAATAGCAAAAAAAATTGTTGTAAATTGTGCCATTGATACTGTAAATAATGTCGTGGAAATAAATTCGCGGCAACTCGGACCTCTTGAATGCCATGCGCGATAGCTCCCTGACGTAGCACACTTGATTGATCTTGCTCTGTGACGTCATTGGTGAACTTGTCGGATCATTTGTCATTGGTAAATACAATAGAATTTTATTATTATTTTTCCTGTGTTCAGGGAACACAAATGAACATTTTTAGAAGTCTGAAAAAATTATAGAATTTTTTCTTGTACATGGGGGTGTATAACTTCTCATTACCCCTTAGCAGCTTAAGGGTTAAAACCCCCCCCCTCCCCCAGTCCCCTAAGATACTCCAAGACGTAGACCCTTTACTGTTGCTCTCCTCCTTTGCTTCCATTTGACGTTGTTTCGTCTGTCTTAACTCCTGCATCTGCCATAGCTCCTCCTGCAGGGAATCCAACTCTGTCCTCAGAGCTCCACACAGCTCCTTCACCAGCACCAGTTCTCACACTACACCTTCCATTTTCAATATCAAGACGATTAGAGCTCCAGCTAACACTGTAACACCATAAGGTGTTTGGTTTAGTTTTATTTAATAATACATAGAGATACATGAATCACAGACAAGGATTTGAGGGGCGCCAGTTTGGTCGGCCTGAGTCTCACACCTCTAAGCGTTAATGACCTCAAGTTGACCTGAGGTCAAGTCATGCGAATTCCACCTTGCTTCTGCTAATCTGATAATTGGCCTTCAAACATGCCGATGTTTAAGGAGTGGCTTGGTAGAGTGCCTGAGGCTATCTACTTGTGGGCGGAGTTAGTTACTAGGTTCCCCAATATATACTCGGAGAGCAGAGCATACAGGATCAAGACAGGACAGGAGCCAGCCAGCAGAGCAGATAAGATGACCTAGCCAGGGAGGCTGTCAGCCGGTGAGGCGGGACAGTCTCTGTCAACTACGGACTCCCCCCTCCCCCTCTATCCAGCTATAGGCAGACACTTGGTGAGTTGAACATTAAGGTGACTTGGTCGTGTTTACAAGTGTTGTGTGAGGATCAGGGGCAGTCAAGTTGTAGGGTTCTCGAATTCTTGGATGATGACTCACTTGGCATATTAATCTTGAACATTGGAATTGCTTAAATTATGATACTTCATGTGAAATATAATTATGAATTTATTATTTAAATGGTCTTTAACTTTGTTCCCTAGAGTTTTTGAGTTGAGGTGAGAAAGCCTCTGCGGTTACTGGGTACAGGATACAGATGGAACATACTAATAATGACCTTTTGATAACATCCTTTGAGAATATTGTGGTACAGACAAGTTCCATTCCTTGTCTTGTACGTAATGGTCTAGAATGGATGGTGGCAGCATTTCTTCTTCTACTATCTACTCCTACTATCTACTTTTCTACTTCTACCTATCTACTCCTCTCCCTCCACCCCTCTCCGAACTTTCCCTCTCGGCTAATGACCCTCCTCGCTCCTCCCACCTCTCTACCTCTCTCACCCCAAACCCTCACTAATTACCTCATTATTCATCTCTTTCCTTTCGTTTCTCTTTTTCGTTTGTGGTTGTGAAATGTATTCTAGAGTTCTCTCTAGAGTTTCGGGTAGCTGATCAAGTTACGGCGCCTTGTAGTCGTAGCACCTAGGTAGTCAAATACCTAGGTTACAAGGAGTTGAACGAGAGAGGCTGCTGTAGGAACTCTGGAGGTGCTCTAGAATAGTTAGCTAACTGAGGACGGGATAACGGACTAGAGAGAGCCGTTTCCCCCGGCCTCGTTAGTTAACTGGGGGGTGGAATAATGGACAAGATAAGAGATATTTTCCCCCACCCCCCGTTACAACACACCCTCTCGTTTGTCAGCATTGAACTGCATCTGCCAATTTTTTTACCATTTCAAAACCCTACTCAGTACTGCACATACTCATACTTTCTACAGATCCATAAAGACTAACTTCTCCACTAACTGTCTCACTAAAAGTATTTGACCCACATATTACAGGTTCAACTAAAAATGGGAAAACGAACCTTTATAAAAGTGTCTCCAATAATTTTTCGCTTCTCTTCGGGACAATACGTCATACATAATAAGTTGGTAACACGCTTTCTACCCATGGGGTCAGTGCAGTCGACAGGTATGCTTGTAACTCCATCATAGAACTGATGTCTTGCATTGATCACTGAAAAGAAAACAATTAGGTGAAACCAACAGGAAACTAAAACCCTTTAAAAAAATACATATTTCTTTCTCCTCATTTTCTTGCTCAAGTTGACCCTTGTATTCATGAATACAAATTCTTTACCTGCATGATCATCCTCCATTCATTTACAACATTCATGCCACCAAAGTGCACACCATCTTACTGTAAGAGAGAGACCCATGGGAAGTGTATAACCCAGGTGAGAGACATAGAAACACCAGTGTTAAATGTGGGAAAAATAGTCTGGAACTCTTGCATTTGGACTCCCCACCAGTACAATAGTCAGTTCTGCACATGTGCAGAGCATAATCATAGCAGGAAAGTGTCATCATCAGAACAGTGTAAACAGCAAGGTAAATACATACTGCATTTAAAATATATATTCAATGCTGGAAAATATATACAGTAGAAACAACAGTGTTAAATGTTGACAAACAACCTGGAATTTTATATGACATAAATGAACTATTGGGAGATACAAATGAGTATGGAAACATTGGAACTGGGTGGTTGGACACAGATATGCGAGCTGTCTCGTTCACTTGGTTTTGGGCAGGGTTGGAGAACAGTCCGTTTGTCACTTGTGTGGCATGTGCCAGTCTCCTACAATAATGATAAGTGAAGTGTATCTCATATGTGCTATAGTTGTACTCCTTCCCTGTGTTAGAGATAGGCAGTGTTAAAACTAAGGTTACTTATGGAATCCTGTGAGATACCTGGTTGATACCTGGTTGATGGGGTTCTGGGAGTTGTTCTACTCCCCAAGCCCGGCCCAAGGCCAGGCTTGACTTGTGAGAGTTTGGTCCACTAGGCAGTTGTTTGGAGAGGCCCGCAGGCCCACATACCCGCCAGAGTTCTTCATCGGGTAGGGTAAGGCAGGTCCTAGTCAACAACGACTTCTCTAATGGTTTCGTTGAAGACATCATAAAAAGAAAGGTAAAACGCCATGCAACCTCTGAAGAGTCAACCAACACAACACTTGTATCCCCAATTAGTCTATTTTACAGGAACTTCTTTTTGACGGCTCATAAAACGGAGGAAAGGGTCCTGAAAGATATTGTTGATAGGAACGTCATCCCTACAGACAAAAATCAGAAAATACAATTGTTAATTTATTATAAAACCAAAAAAACGGCCAATCTACTCATGAAAAACTCCCCAGACACCAAGCAGAATGCTTTGAAGGAGACCAATGTCGTCTATGCCTTTAAATGCCCACTTGGGGACTGTAAGCCCCAAAGAACTCAGTATATAGGCAATACAACAACATCTCTTTCCAGGCAACTAACAATGCATCAGCAACAGGGCGCCATCAAGGAACATATAATCTCGTTTCACAACCAGACCATCACCAGAGAAATCTTAACAAGCAACACAGAAATCATCAATAAATACAGCGATAGCAGGAGACTCGACATCAGCGAGGCACTACACATCAAAAAGTCAACACCAGCAAATCAACAGCCAATTAATGCACAACTATATTCTACCCACTTCAAGACCCCGAACCAATATGGAAGCAGCAAGAGGAAGTATGGGCCAATAGGCCCTCTGAAGTTACTTCCATTCTTATGTTCACATATCCAAGTTATACCCATTGATTCGTGTCCTGTCTTGTTTTTGTCACCTCACCCAAAACTTTTGTACCATATCACCTTACCCAAGAGTATAAGTGCAATGAATTTGGGTAAATTAAGTCTTTGAAAATGTAATACAAATTACGAAACGCGTTCAGGCATCAGACCATGAATAAAAAATGAATTCTGGAGAATTGTTATTTTCATTACCACCGACAGTGAAGAAAAACAAAAGAAATATTGAAAAATTTTGTGTTAGAATTATTAACACTTTGGCGTACCCCGCGCGCCACCCTTCAACTGTGCGATATGGGACCCAGGGTGTCACGGGAGCGTGCGTAAATTCTGAAAAGTGTATACTCTCTTCAACTTTGTCACCTTAATTCTCGTCCTACGAGATTAAATTTGGTATCATTGTGTTCGCAATAGAATTCTCTACAGCACTAAATGCATATAAACTCCAAAAGCCCGGCTAATTACCCGCAGCAAACAGAGAAAGTGTGAATGAGTTACCCAGGAGCGTGCAAACGCGATAAAATGTTTTCACTATTTTCACTCTTGTCACCTCAATTTTTGTCCTAGGTCTTTCATTTTGGTCTCAATGGGTTCGCAATCGAATTCTCTAGAGGAACATTAGCATATAAAATATAAAACCTGGTCACGCTCCAACCGCCGACGAGTTGAAGACGGGCCACGCGTTAGCCGGGAGTGAGCGCTCAGACGCCTTCCAGCTACACTCCCAATTCCCTTCCTTTTCAAGCCTTTCTTTCGCAATTTTCTTCCTGGAAGGGCCTTGTTCATGATCACTATCCATCGTGGAGTAAGCGTAGATAGTTTCTAAAGCCGCAGTAAGAAATACAGCCACGGAAAATAGACGAAATGTTCACACGTTTGAGATGCGAGGGGAGGCGACATTTGTCACAACAGTGGAGCGAAAACAATGGGCCGACGGCGTGTGCCAAGCCACCTGAGGGCCACGAGGCTCAACAAAGAAAATGGGAAGACATCGGCGCACATTTTAAAACCAGTCCCAAAAAAATCGGATAAAAACCTGATTTTTGGCGATTATTTAAAGTGGATGACGCAATGCTGCGTCATCCCCGGTATTACCGCCAGTAAACGGATGACGCAATGCTGCGTCATGCCCGGGCGAAAGTGTTAATCTTACTTTTTCGGTCATATTCAACAACATATGTTTACAAGAAAGACTGCTACCAAAATATACTAACATATATATACACATACATACATATCAAGTAATTAGATCATTGTGCTGACTAGTGACCACGTGTGGGTAATAAAGTGGGGTGTGCTGTCCCTTAACCACTGCACTGCGCAGAGAGCCTTGAGACGCAGGATCAAGGGTGCACAGAGCGCCATGTGGCATTTTTAGGTATAGAAAGCGATTCAAAACTCCTGCGGATACACAGGGCTCATATCCTGTGCCTCAGGACTCCAGTAAACAGATGCCATTTTGGAAAAAAAAGTGTCAGCCTCCTTACTGGCTGTGAGAGCCTCAGTACAGAGAGCGCGACCAAGGCTGGCACATACAGGGGCAGCGCACAGCACCACTGTACAGTTCGAGGTCACAGACCACTTAGTAATGATGAGTAAAATAGCTAACAAATTATTTTGTGTTGATATTGTCATAGGTGATCCTGACTGTGATATAGACTGTTTAACATTCAGATATCAGTGAATACAATGCTAGTTATAATATTCACAGCATGAGGTAGACTCACACAGCACCCAGCCATTGTTTCCTGCACCTACACATCATGAAATGACATGTTCCTTCACTAATGTGTTTCTTATGGAAATGGATTCATATTTGGGATTTTGTGCCAAGAATGTGATAATACCAACAGTTTTGTAGCTAGTCATAGTGAGATGTGAAGAATATTGGAGGCATTGTCTTGCATCATGTGACTGCTGGCGCCATCTGCTTGTGGCTCCATGCTGTGTTTTGATGTCAACACCATACCCACCAGACCTGCTTATTAGTATGTTATTAGTTTTCTGGCATCAGCCAGAAAAATGATAGGATGGATTACAAGAACTTTCAAATCTAGGGATCCCATCACAATGGTTGTACTCTTCAAGTCACTTGTGTTGTCCCGTCTCGAGTACTGCTCAGTACTCACTTCCCCCTTCAGAGCAGGAGAGATTGCTGAAATAGAGGAGATCAGAGAACATATACGGCACGCATAGACGCGATAAAGCACCTAAATTATTGGGATCGTCTCAAAGCTCTCCAAACGTACTCTCTACAAAGGAGACAAGAGAGATACCAAATAATATACACATGGAAAATACTAGATGGCCAGGTCCCTAATCTACACAGTAAAATAACAACGTACTGGAGTGAACGATATGGAAGAAAATGCAGGATAGAACCAGTAAAGAGCAGAGGTGCCATAGGCACAATCAGAGAACACTGTATAAAAGTCCACTGTTGTTCAACATCCTACCAGCGACTATAAGAAATATTGCCGGAACAACCGTGGACATCAAGAGAAAACTAAAGACTGTTTTCTAAAAAGTTCTGGACCAACCGGGCTGTGGTGGGTATGTGGGCCTGCGGACCACTCCAAGCAACAGCCTGGTGGACCAAATTCTCACAAGTCAAGCCTGGCCTCGGGCCGGGCTTGGGGAGCAGAACTCCTCCCAGAACCCCATCAAGCATTTAAATGTTGATAGTGATATATAACATGCGTATATAGCGTAATAACTAAGATTACTGTTTGGTTGATCAAAGAATATAATATGCGTGTCACCATATATGATCCCCATATTTTCGTCTAAGGTTGTCTGGACAAATCAATCCAAATTTTAGAACAAACACTAGCTCTGTATCTCAAAATGCTCTGACAAGTGGATCCACTTCAACTATTATTTAACCCTTAAATTGCACATCGCATCATATGACGCTTTGACCTACTTGCAGTAAATTGCGCATCGCATCATATGATGCTTTGGAGTACTACGCAAGATTTAAACAGCCAGCGGATACACGGGGTTCACCACACCTTCATCAGGGCTCTTGTAAACAGATGCCATTTAAAAAAAAAATCGTGGGCCAAATTCCAGGGTGTTAGGTGCCTCAGTATTCAGTGAGCTACCAAGCCTGACGCACGCAGAATTTGCTCACAGCACTGCTGTTCAGCTTGTGACCACAGCATCGCCTAAAAATGCCATAATATACTTGTTCATGCTATTATGTAGCGATGATATTATTACAGAAGACCCCTGACTGTGATAAAACTGACCAGGGTTCTAATAATAGCAGGATTGTGGTGATATTTAGCGCTGTGCGCCATGGAGGGAGGAGTAATGCTGTGGGAGGGGAGGGTAGTGGCATTGTCTTCTGACTGTGTGTGGCCACCTTTTATTGACTGCACT